ATCGGAAACGGGCGCCGGCACGCCGCTCGTCACGTGACGCCGAGCGCGTCCTTCCGGCCCGCCGTCCCGAGGAGGTGAGGGGCGCGGGGTCGCGCCGCGCTGATTGGCTGCGGCCTTCGGCGGGCCGGAGGCGGCAGAGCAGGACGCCGTCCCGGCCGGCTTCCCGCTGACCTTCACGCATCGCCCCGCGCTCCCCTCCTCTTTGCTAGGTGACCCGGCCATGCTGATCAGCCGCCGGCTGCGGCGCCTGCTGCGGTTGGTGCCCGGCCGGGAGCGGTTCGGCGCGTACCGCCTGCTGCCCTTCTTCTTCGTCCTCGGCGGGGCCATGGAATGGTTCATGATCAACGTCCGCATCGGCAAGGAGACGTTCTGTGAGTGACCGGAGCGCGGGAGCAGCCTGGGCTGCGGGCAGCGGTGGGGCTGCGCTGTGAGGTCCCTTCAGCCCGGCTGAGCCGGGGCAGGATCTTCCTCTTGGAAGAGCTTACGAAGCCTTTTTCTGGCACAGATGACGTTTACCGAAGGAAGCGATCTGAAAGACAGTACAAGGCGAGGATGGAAAAGAGCGAATCTTAGCTGAAGGCTCCAAGGGACGCATCTCAGTGTCTGCACTTTGTGCGATAGAAGCACTGCTGCGATGTGCTGGGCGGGAGGGGTCTGTGCGCGAGGAGCTGCCGGCTGGCACTCGGTGGTGTTTGTTAGCAGGTTGTGCTGCACTCTTTTGTATTTAACCGAATTCATCGGGTTTCAGCCTTTGCCATCTATTGAATGTTGGTTGGTACTTCTAAATAAACTGCAATGAGTGCACAGTCTGGCTGCTGCTTCTCTTTGCTCGAGCAGACACCATTCTGAAAACACCAGGGTATGCTAAGCTGTATGCCATGGATGCATCGTGGCAGGAAGGAAGCGTTCCGTTTCCATTAGATTCCTCTGGACTGGTGGAGGCTGCTATTGTGTCCAGTTAGTGTTCTTTACAGTGTAGTGCAATTCCAACTCGGTTCCATAGGACAGGCGTACAGCTCGGTGTTTGTTCTGCCTGCACTGCTTTGGAAAATCATTTGTGCACTGCTCTGCTGTGCTGCCTGCACTGGTGGCTCTTATGAAGTGATGCACGGGCAGAGGGGAAGAAAAGGTTGATGTAAGGGAAGGAAGCCACGATGCTGCTGTGCTCCAAGGCCTTGATCAGGAGGACTGAGGCCACTGGGGCACCTGCAGGGGTGGGCACCTCACAGCCTGACTTTGTGCTGTACTTCATACTGAAGCGCTGTTGTACTTCAGTTCCATCTGCCTTTAAAGCCTCTGGGCATTTTTTGTGCTGCTGCTTTGTTTTCTCATTTTTTCTCCATTTTTTAAAGAAAGCCTTGTGCACCAGCAGCATCTCAGCACTCCACCTGCTATGGACATTCTCCCTGTGACTTCTCATAGCACTCCCATACCAGTAGTGGTGTCTCAGCAAATGAACATCCAATTTATTGCATCAGAGCTTTCTTAATACACCGCAGTGGATTCACCAGGCACATAGCAAGTTGGCTTCAGCGTCTCCAGTTAAGGAACACAGAAAGACAGGAGTGCCAGTGGCTCACAAGGATTCTTAGTGGGGAGTTCAGCAGTGCCAGTCTTCGTGCAGGAGAGAATCCTCTGAGCTGACTCTGTACCATTTCAGACACGAGGCAACACGGAATTGCAGTGACAGAAGATGATGAATACTAGAAGCAGAGCAGCTGAGCTCTACTGATCCATTCCAGTGCCATGCACGCCTGGTGGGGATTTTGGATCGGTTTTACTCCACACCCACTCTTTGGGTTGAAGGATTGCTGTTCAATCGCAGAATCACAGAATGTCCCGGGTTGGAAGGGACCTCAAGAATCACGAATCTCCAACCCCCTGTCACACGCAGGGCCAACAACCTCCACATTTCATAGCAGCCCAGGCTGCCCAGGGCCCCATCCAACCTGGCCTTGAACACCTCCAGGGATGGACGGGGCATCCACAGCCTCTCTGGGCAGCTGTTCCAGCACCTCGTCACTCTCACACTCTGACATCCAACCTCAATCTTCCCTCCCATTCCAGCATGAGAACACAGTGTTTCTGTTAGATGCTACGGGAGCAAGCCAGGACACAGCTTTAACTGTCAGCCTTGCCAGCTGTGGACTCAAGCACATCTGTTCAGTCTGCAGGGAGTTCACCTGGTGCCAGCACAGCACCTGCAAACAGCAACTCAGCAGTTCTTCTGGCAGCAGCCACAGCAGGAGGCTCTGAGCACAAGCAAAGCATCACTGCTGAAAGCTTCCCGGGTGGTGAGTGGGGCCCAAGCTGCGCCTGCACTCTGGTTATGGCTAGCAGCAGCTGCTCCTGAGAGGCGCAGACACCTGCAGCAGGACTGCGACTTCCTAGGAATGTCCTTAAATCCTTCTTGGGTGTTTGTGCCTGGCACAAAGCATGAGGATTATTTGCAGTCTTCCCCAAACCGTCTGATGGAAACGGGTTGCAGACTTTGGGATGCACAGAGCATCCATCACCATTTTTTGTCAAAGGCTGCAGAGCATCCTTTGTGTAAAATGAGCAGAGACAGACCAGCAACTGGTGCTGCTGTGCAACTCTGGGGATCTTCCTTTCTGATTTCATGTCTGTCTGCTGCCTGCTTTGATAGAGGTGAAGCTGCACATCTACAGCACAGGATTTCTGAACAGGAGAGCTGATCGAAGGAGCGGCAGACTCTTTGCTTAGTACCACTGGATCCTACCGCACTGCAGGCACTTGCAGAAGGCCTGCTGATTTGTTTTCTTTTTTTAATGTATTTACTTTTTGCTTCCCTTTTGTTTGACGGTCAAATTAAACTTACTGAAAAATGCAGCAAGCAAAAGGAAGATGGAGTCCCTTCATTAGACCTGTCAGTGAACCAGAAGCCCTTCCTTGCTGTTGAAAGCACTCAGCTACTTTGAAACACCACTTCCACTCCGTGTTTGGTGCTGGGAGCAGGCTGGGCAGATCTGAGTGATCTCCAGAACGTCACGCTGACCAAATACTACGTGAAGAATGACCTGAATTAGTCTCCCTGTGTGCCTCCCCGTGGGCTTCTAGGAGGGTGGCAGTTCTGCGTGCCAGGCAGTGTTCAACCCTCGGGTGAAAGGCATTAATGCACATTAATTAAATGGAACAGTAAGCGTGTTCTGGTTAAGTAGCTCTCTGCGAAGCATGGCAGAGGCTCCCCAACACAAAAGAAGGCTGCTGTCATTTAATTTCCCTTGCTGTTGTTGTTGTTACCAAAGAGAACTTCCATCCCAGTTTTCAATTTTATTGGGTAAAAGATGCGTTTTCCACATTGCTTTTCTAATTCCCTTCATTATCCAGCTACGTCAAAGAAGTCCTGAACCAGGTTAGCTTCCAACACGAAATTAAGGCTTGCTGTTTATTTCCAAAGCAGTTAATGTGGAGGCAAATGGACCCGACCGCATCCTATCGCCTCTGCTTAGCACACCATGTATTTTGCAGGGCTCCCTTCGTGCTCCTTACAGCTCATTTTTCAACACCACTCTTCTTAGCAGCAGCAGAAGAGTCTCGCAACACAAAGGAGAACAGAAAAAGATTCTTCACCCACACACATGCATGCACACAGGAAGGATTCCATAGCGTCAGCACCAACCAGAATTACTTGAAGGAAAATCCCACCAGAAGCCTCGTTGGGACACTCAAACCTGGTTAATCCAAAACACTTTGCAAACTATTTTTATTCAAATTAAAAAGACTCAGGTAAACAAAGTGATGGTACATACATGTTACACACCTGGTTATCAGCTTAACCCTCGGGAGTACAAGATGGAATGAGCAGCCAAACAGGGACTGACCAGGTCTGAAACCATGAGCTGAAAAAAAAGTCACCAACATCAACTTTTTTTGTTGTTTTTTTTTCTTACAGAAATGGTAAATTTTCTCATAGAAGAGAAGAGCTGAGGAAGAGAACAAATAATTATTACTCATCTCCAACTGGTTTATGAAAATGCCGGTCCTAGGTCGATCTGTTTCCACTCTCTCAGAAGCCAACCATTTCCCACACATACATTTATTTCGATAGGAAAGTTTCATTTATGCCGATACAGTGAAAAGCAGAGGAAAACAAACGAGGGGTTCAAATGCCCACAAAGAGAGGAAAAGACAGACAGACGTCTTTCCTTGTCTTGTTTTTAAACCAGAGTCAAAAAAACAGTTTCTTTTGCTGGTTTTGAATTCTAGACTGTAGCCATCATATCCCAAACCTTCCTGCCATCAACTGAAACGTCTCCTATGCAGAGACACGATTTTGAAATAAATAAAGCTTATCAGAATTGATTAGGGCCAGCCCCGTGGCTCAGAGGTAGCGCTCTGCACTGCCTTTACAGGAGGAGCCAGGCTTCGTGGGATTCCCAGCCTCTTGCCCCTGGGCCAGGGAGCAGTGGGAGCACTGAGAGCAGTGGGAGCAGCATTTCGGCTGCCCAGGCAGAACAGAGCCAGTGCTGCACGTCTGCTCATCGCCGGCCTTCAGATAAATTAAACATCTGAGTTACACGGGCTCCAGAGGGAGTCCCATCCAGTCCTCCAAAGAAAATAAATAGAACAATAAGTTAACTAAAATCCATCCCAGGTTCTTTGGTGTAGTTTTTGTTCATGCTGAGAACAAGACCATCTGGTGGTATTTCTACGACCCACGGTAATTCCAAGTGCTTGGAAACCAGGATTTGCTGCCCGATTCGCTTCAACGTCTCATCTGTTTGGCTAAAACTGCAAAGCCTACGGTAACTGAAATGTGTTCTAAGATGACAGTGTGTATGTACAGGAGGTCTAGGTGTACTCCTACCTCATGAAACAAACGTGGTTCTTTACTGGCCTTTGTAAATGATTTCTGTACCACAGGTGCTCTACTGGTAAAGATGTCCATTGTAATTTCCTGTAAGATTTTGCTTGGCTCCCTTTTCCTCGCATCCCAGTGTATATCTGTCCTAAAACGTCCCTAAGTGCTCACCTCTATAAGGTTTTCTGTGCAAGGAATGTAGGGCTGGAATAGGAGGGGAAGTACAAGTACCATTTAAGAATAGTTCATGCTTGCCTGTCCCTTCCCTCATCAGTATTCAATTGCATTACCAAATAGAACCCAGTATCTGAAGAAAAACATGCAACCTTCTGCCAGTATGAACTCAAAAGTGCTCTGTATGAGCAGACTTTGAAACACCTTTCCAAATGATAAACATTTCTAGAAGCAGTATGAAAGCATATCAGCAAATTATTCTTTTGGACTGAGTTGCAGAGACCATGTTTGTGCCAACAGCTTTTTGTTTGTTTGCTTTTCAAATTAGTGCTGTTTTCCCAGTTAATTTGTGCAATCCAAGAGCTCTAAAGTGGAGCTTGTGAAAGCAAACAGCTTTGCAGCCCAAAAGGTTGGTTAGTTTGCTACAGTGAAGTCTTCAGCAAAGGCAGTCACAACCTCAACATTTGGCAAGAGGAGCCTACATGACCTTACTGAGCTAAACGACAGAAGCACAAAGCCCTCTGAAGGCTGCAATGCACAACGCACTCTGTCTCCAATGCACAAAGTATGCTGAACTTACAGTACTGTTTTGAAACTGAATTCATGTGTTACATTTCAAATTTTGCCCTGTAAAACTTTCATTAGTGTGAATCAATACACTTAATAGAAAAACGTCTTACGGTGCCCAATCATTAACAGAATATGTGTGGATTTAGAAACCATGTGACTCTACCAACAAAAGAGCTTCCCCTCTCCTCTAACTTACCTTCCATGACCCACACTGGTTCAAAGTTGTGGCCTCTCCCACAT